CTGAGTACCTCTCACTATCATATTATTATTATCATTATTATTGTTATTATTACTTTTTGTTGAGTCATTTTTCTTATATTCTAGGAAAAATAATTTAGCCCAGTAAATGTTTTAGCTCAGCGGTAACTAATGTAAATATTTTTGACCCACAGAGAGGAAACGAGTCTACCCAAATGACAATGAACGAAGCTCGCTGGCGTGTCAATGGCCCGCTCTCCCTAAATGACTCAAGAGTTCTATCCATTTTAAGACAATACCATCTATCCCCACCATCCATCTATCCTTATAACCTATCCACCTGCTAAGCTGGTTAATAAGCGGAGGAAAGCTTGGATATCACATACATGCTTATCCACAGCTTAATATCCAGAAGAACAAGTGATGGTGACTTTACTGCGAAGATATCTAAAACTCTGATAAATCGTATTCTCTTGTTCAATGTTTCCCTTTAGCGTCTTATCTCATGGCTTTGAATATAACTACGGTTGATTTCTTATCATTAGACATCCAAGGTGCTGAAAAAGATGTCTTGAGATATATTCCCTGGGACAGTGTCAATATACGGGTCATGGTTATAGAGGTTGTGCATTACGAGACGATGGACCGCCATTTATTTCAGAGCTGAAGATTATATATTTATTAGAAAAAGATGATCCATTAATACTCAAATATATCTATGATTTATGTTTAATTATTGTGGTTATTTGTAATTAATTTAACCCCTTTTAATACAGTGACGCCATTTAATTATAGATATTCACCTCAGAAGTAACACCGTACACAAGGGATTAAATTAATTAAACCCAACTTGGGATACAAACCTAAAGGAAATTAAACCCAACTTGGGATACAGACTTAAAGCAAATTAAACCCAACTTGGGATACAAACCTAAAGGAAATTAAACCCGACTTGGGATACGAGCCTAAAGGAATATAATAAACCATTGTATACGATTAGTCGGGTTTAATGAAAGTAGATATGTACGTGTTTACATGTATGTACACACACACACGCACGTACATATATTTACAACACATACATATATTTTCACATACACACATGTACACATGTATACAAATTCTCAAATAATTTTATTAAATAACTATTTTTCCAAAGATTGGAGTATTTACAGTTGTTTATGGAGGTCAGGTCAGGTCAGGTCACGCTGTATCCTAGGGGTCACACAAGGGTCATAGTTCCATCTCAAAGGTCACAGTAGCATCCCAAAGGTCACAGTCCCATCCCAAAGGTCACAGTCCCATCCGAAAGGTCACAGTCCCATCCCAAAGGTCACAGTCCCATCCCAAAGGTCACAGTCCCATCCCAAAGGTCAAAGTCCCATCCCAAAGGTCAAAGTCCCATCCCAAAGGTCACAGTCCCATCCCAAAGGTCACAGTCCCATCCCAAAGGTCAAAGTCCCATCCCAAAGGTCAAAGTCCCATCCCAAAGGTCACAGTCCCATCCCAAAGGTCACACAAAGGTCACAATACATCTCTCATCATCAGTACAGTTTAGAGAGCAGTTTCCATGAGACTGTAATGGCCAGACATACAGACAGACTCGTGGTGACGGTGGTAGTGGCCTAGAAGATAAATAATGGGTAGATTAGTAGTAGTAGTAGTAGTAGTAGTAGTAGTAGTAGTAGTAGTAGTAGTAGTAGTAGTAGTAGTAGTAGTAGTAGTAGTGGTAGTAACAGTAACAATATATATATCAATAAACACGACAGACAGACAGATAATTAAACTCACTCTTGATTGACGAGGGAAAAAATTATCACCAATTCTTCTTAGATCGTTCCCAATACCTCGCCATATTTCTTGGGAATCTCTCTCTGTTTTTACCTCTCTCATCTCTCCCTGGTGAGGAATAATCTCTCTCATCTCTCCCTGGTGAGGTATAATCTCTCTCATCTCTCCCTGGTGAGGTATAATCCCTTTAAGGTGAGATTGAAGGCGATTATTCCAGCATAAGGGAGGGAAACTATCTTGACGTAGCCGGGAGGGAAAAATGGAGTATGGCTTCAAATGGCGAATATTTTGACTCCTCTCTAAGCTAAGGTGGAGTTGGGTTCCTTCACGTGGCTTGCGATGATGATGAGGTGTGGTAGCTTGTGTGGTGGCTTGGAGGGGCTTATTTACCTCAGAGAATTGGTGAAAGATAACTGTATCAGGCGGTGTGTTGCTCAGTACTACGTCTGGCAGCGGAGTACCTGGAAGAGTTTGTTTACAATTATTAAATCACGCGCGAGAGACAGACAGACAGACAGACAGACAGACAGATAAAGAAAGACAGACAGACAGACAGATAATTAAATATATAACCAATATTTTCCATTCATTATAAATATAAATAAATAAATTATAAAAAAGAATTAAACTTACCATAATAATCCGGCCATTCCATCACCATTGACGAAATCCTTCCACAAGTTGTACAGCTGTGAATTAAACCCTCCTTTACGTTATATCCAAATGGTACTGCTCCTATGTGTGTAAGAACGTTGATCATTATGTATGGAAGTCAAGGGAAAAATCAAATCTTCGTTCTTCTTATTTGACCACAGGACGTCCTCTCCCTCTCGTGTCTTGATGTACACTGACGTCATGGATTTGTTTTGGTAGGTCTAGTGCGTCATGGTGACAAGTGCGCAGGCGCCATGTTCCAGGAAATTGTTATCAGTTATTCGTTATTATTCCATTTTATTCTACCTCTTCCTGTCAATATTTCTATCTAAATCATGAATATTAATCTTCAATAATATTATTTTAAAATATATATAAAGATTAATATTACAAATCTAACGGTAAAATAACATTGAAAATAATATCGATATTCATGATTGGCAACTCCATATTGGGTGATGCTCCGCCTACTATTCCGGGTCAACCAATGAGCAACAAGCGGCGACACGTGGCGGGGGATTTGGCGGGAAAAGTTGTAAACACGGGAAGAAAATTGTAAACAAACGACTTACGTGTTGACAAGGGGTGTAAACAATAGATTTACCAGGTGGCGGTCAGGGGAGGGAGGGGGGGTAGGGGGAGAGACGAAGAGAGAGAAGAGAATGGAGAGATATAGAGAAAAGGAGAGAGAGAGAGAGAGAGAGAGAGAGAGAGAGAGAGAGAGAGAGAGAGAGAGAGAGAGAGAGGAGAGAGAGAGAGAGAGAGAGAGAGAGAGAGAGAGAGAGAGAGAGAGAGGGAGGAGGAGGGAGGAGGGAGGGAGGAGGGAGGGAGGAGGAGGAGGGAGGGAGGGGAGAGAGAGAGAGAGAGAGAGAGAGAGAGAGAGGAGAGAGAGAGAGAGAGAGAGAGAGACTCACTCACTCAACCTAACCAGAAAGTTTTTAAGTCAAGTCATTAATTAATTCTGCCTAACAAGCGTACAGACTTAAGCCGCCACAGTTGTTATTGTCCACCGCCTCTACAGGTGTATATTGGTGAACAGGTGTCTTGACTCGTTAAAACATGTCTTGGTTCCCACGCCGAATGCTCACTTACGGGCCCCAGGGGATACGAACCTTCCATGCTTTATGCTCATTGAAGGGCCCTAGGGGATACGAACCTTCCATGCTTTATGCTCATTGAAGGCCCCAGGGGATACGAACCTTCCATGCTTTATGCTCATTGAAGGGCCCCAGGGGATACGAACCTTCCATGCTTTATGCTCATTGAAGGGCCCCAGGGGATACGAATCTCCCATGCTTTATGCTCATTGAAGGGCCCCAGGGGATACGAACCTTCCATGCTTTATGCTCATTGAAGGGCCCCAGGGGATACGAACCTTCCATGCTTTATGCTCATTGAAGGGCCCTAGGGGATACGAACCTTCCATGCTTTATGCTCACTTAAGGTCAGCCGTCACGAGAGGACCTCAGCTCACAACACTTTACCTTTGACCTCTAATGATGTTTGGGGTTACTCCTATTACCGACGGCGTGAATTAATTAAAAACTTAGGGATAATCTAGCAGTTTAGTTCACCTGTTAATTAGATATTTAACTTTACCTGAGGTGTTAGTGTAGGTCAGGTCAGATCAGGTCAGGTTAAGGTAGTGTTAGGTCAGGTTAGGTTAGATTCCTACTCGGGACAAAATCCATACACATCCAATAACCATTTTTGCTCTGGGTGGGAGATAACGATCCTATATTGGCAACATACGCGACTCAGCAAGTGTAGTTCTGGCAACAGTGTGATTCCTCCGTGACTCTGGTTAGCTAAGTATAGCATTGACAGTCTTGAGGGAGAGGCAGCTAGGCACGCAACACTCTCTCTCTCTCTCTCACTGTGTTGCTCCCTTCATTGATCGCGGTAGAGGAAACACAAAACTAGCATAAAGTGTTAAAAATAGCGATATATATTGGTGAACATTAGCGGAAAGTGCTGATATGTAGGGAAAAGTGCTGGATATTGTGTTTATTTGTGGAAGAGTGATTTATTATTATTATTATTATTATTATTATTATTATTATTATTATTGTTATTATTATCATTGTTATTATTAATTATGAATTATCAATATTATCGATGAGCAAATTTTTTCACACACACACACACACACACACACACACACACACATTCTATTATCCTCTCACTCAATAAATCATGAAATAGCTGAATATTACATACTAGTAACGAGGCTATTTTCCAGCTAGTTGTAGGAATATTCATGATTGTATTGGCTAGTAGAATATAGGGGTGTGTGTGTGTGATTGACCTCTCTCTCTCTCTCTCTCTCTCTTACGTGTCAATCACTCACCTAAACATTCAATCACCTCAATCACCTGTTTACACGAGTTTTCCCTAATAGACCCTAACATTTTCTCTGGTTCCCGTTGATACTAAAATAGGCAACAGATATGCACCAGTGGGACGACGGCTTCTGATTGGCTAATACTGAGCCAATGAGATGCGGGGGAAGTATCACGTTGGGTGTCTGTTGATGGTAATACTACTACTACTACTACTATCATGGTAACTGGTGCTATGGTGGGCGGATAGCCAGGCAGGAAGTAGTGCAAATACTCAGTACATCTAGGCATCGAGCCAAATCACACACTACCACACACTACCACACTCCACCACACCGCACTACACTGTACCACTACAAAAATATAACTTACATTTTATTGATAAGTCTGTGTGTGTGTGTGTGTGTGTGTGTGTGGGTGTATGTGGGTGGGTGTGTGTGGGTGTGGGTGTGTGTGTGTGTGTTGAAATTAATTATAAAAGTCTTAAACATAATATTGATTTAAAGGTAAAAAACTGTATACCTACACACACACACACACACACACACACATACACACACATACACACACACACACACACACACACATATACACAGAGTACACAATATATATACTTATTAAATATACGTATATATAATTGGGTTTTGTATGCATTATTATTAGCAGTAGTAGTAGTAGTGGTAGTAGTAGTAGTGGTAGTGGTGGTAGTAGTAGTAGTAGTAGTAGTAGTAGTAGTAGTAGTAGTAGTAGTAGTAGTAGTAGTAGTAGTAGTAGTAGTATTACCGCCATTAGTTCAACTTACCATACTTGACCACATTGCCACCTCACAGAAAGTAACCCTATCCATCCCTTTATCTTCACTTGACTAACCGGTAAAAATATCCCCTGAGTGACCGGCAGCGTGCACTTGACACCATCTCTCTTCCGTCACCTTAAAATAGTTTCCGGATGTTTTTATCACGATGAAAAACACACCCATAGATTTACGTTACCTGTCTGTCCTGGTAATGCCATGTCGGCTGGGAGAGTGGAAGTTATCGTATGTTAGGCAGCGTTTATTATTTATTTAAAGCTGTTATTTTATATATCTATGGTGAATTAGTTCATATATTATTTAAATAACAAGTAAGATATATTATTTATATCTTACGACACGTGAGATTGAGTAAATAGCCAAAACTCTTGGAGAATTTGACGAAAATATTTATCTTATACCAGCTGCCGGGGCGGAGGGAAAACTTATCGTACTGCGTCATCGACTGGTTGAGTGGGGTGTAAAAATACAATTCTTATAAGAGACCGGCAAACCAGGGTTCAAAGCCACTGGCAGCAACTCAACCCAAACAACAAGCTGTGGAAAATATTCAACCGGTAAAAAATTCAGGAAATCTGGACAAATTTCATCTGCTTACATACCGTCGCTGCCATCGGGAAAAACTATCGTACCGGGATGGGAAATATTATAAATTATGTTTTTATACGGGGTCTACCAGAACTGGGGCCCGTTTGTACTGGGACCTACTAGAACTGGGGCCTACATAATCTGTCACCGTACATAACAGCTAAAAAACAAACCCACAAATTTAAATGTCAGAAACGTCGGCTGTTTTAGTTTATATTTTACGCGGGAAATTTAAATCGACTTTTTACGCGGGAAATTTAAATCGACTTTTTACGCGGGAAATTTAAAGAGACGTTTTCAGGAGTGAATATAAATGACCTTTGTCGGGATTGTTTGTTTGTTTATTGTTTATTATTTGTTTTCACTTGTTACGTCTGTCTGTCTGTCTGTTTATCTGTCTTTAATAAGTAGTGTGTATTCATCTTTCTCTTTATGTATGTATGTATGTATGTATGTATGTATGTATGTATGTATGTATGTATGTAAGGTCACACTGATGGGGAATTACTGATCGAAAGACTCCCACCTTCCTTCCTTCCCTCCCTCCCTCCTTCCTTCCTTCCTCCTCCTCCTTCCCTTCCCTCCCTCCTTCCTCCTTCCCCTCCCTCCTTCCTCTCACTTTCTGGGTGTTTCCACGTCTAGAACAGGGTTGCCAACGGACCCAGCAGCCTTGCCCAGTGTTGCAGAGTAATGATACCGCCATCGTGACGCACTGTTGATTCACCTCACCATGGGAATAATGTTCGATAGATAGATAGATAAATAGATAGATAGTGATTCATATAGCTAGATAGACTAGTACCTACATAAATACATACATACACACATACATACATACATAACCTAACCAAACCTAACCAAACCTAACCAAATCCAACCTAATCCAACCTAACCTAACCCCCTCCAGGTAGCATAATCTTCACTACAAACGAAGACAAATTATAATTTACATTCTTGGCACAGTTCCAACACCTCGCTATTACTGTACAAGAAATCCTGAAATTTAATTGAATCACGTGGAGTTTAGACACCCTCTTGTTTATTTCACCTGATGATTAAACACCCTAATGTTAACGTGATTGGATGTTAATTTAACTTAACGTAGAGGTAATTTAAGTTAATCTATCGCTAATTAGTTTAACTTAACATAATGATAACTTCAGCTAACCAGAATTTAACTTAACATAATGCTAATTTAACCTAATTTAATACTAACTGAATTTAACCTAACCTAATGCTAACTTAACCTAATCTAACCTAAAATTAACCTAATCAAACCCTAGGCAGCTTAAAGTGTTGAAACTTTAGGTAAAATAAGCTGGGGTCTCTGGTCTTCATATGAGTCGCGTGAAT